TTTTGAAATGTCCTGCTTTGTCGAGATTGATTTGTTCAAACAGCCAGACTTCAAGTAAGAAATTTAGGACTCGTGCTTTTACGACGGCATTGGTCCCATTCTTGGCATCCGAATTGGAATCACGTGGACCCATGGGCGAAGTAATGTCCGCCCAATCGTCAACATCAGCCTTATCAGTAGTTGGGTTAACATGGGCAGTTTTACTATCAGACGATTCCATAGCGGCCGTGGTCACAAACAGTTCAATGAACTCTAGACCGATTGCGTTGAATAAGGTCTTTGTGTCGTAGATGGACTTGTCGTTATAAAAGGAACGCCTGTTATTTTGAAGCTCATCGGTATACTTGTTTAAGTCGACCACTGTCGCCTTAAATTTCTCAGAATTCTTCATGGATGTGTCCATGAGACTCATGATACACGTGTTAACGACACCATAAATATCAGAATCTTGGGCGGTTGGCATGTTGAGTTGCAGACGAACTCTTTCTCCCGGATAGAGTAAGTGCTTGTCAAAGTTGTTACTGGTATGTGAATTCAAACTTTACTCAAAAATGGCGGGTGTTGAACAAAGCTTTAGATTCTCAATGTACAGAGAATCGGAGATCTTTTCGTAACCGTGTATTAACGTGGGACCCACCCTGATGTCATAAACTACTGCGCGAAGCGTTGGTCCAAAATTAGAATTCATTTCGAAAATCGCTTCATGCATAAATATTGTCCTGTGTACTTGCTCGTTTAAGTAATGCGGTCTCAAGCAATACGCTCCCATCCAACCCGGCAAACGTTCGAGCTCTCCCAGTTCTCCGGGTTGGAAGCCCATATTGCAAGTGTAGTGGCCCAGATCGCTGTCCCCGTCAGAGCAGGCGTAACCCGACCTCGCAGGTTTCAGGACTGTGGTCGGTTGTGTCAACACGCCGCGCGATAAATACTCAAGAAACAGCGTCTTCTCTGCCAATGGCGCATTCGCCATGATAGAAAGGTTAAGATTTCCGGGACAATGCACAGCTGAGTTGTCGTTTATGCTCCTTATCTTGAGGGCCATACCAACCAGGGTTCTAAAGCGTCTCAAAAATGCTGAGTTTTGCTGTTTCCAAAAGGCATCTACCATGCGTTGAACGAAAGGCGATGGTCCGGTTCTGGTAGATTTAGTCATGGTTCCCTCGAGTAGTAAATTCACTCGTACCCGTAGGTCATTCGTGCTGTTTACTGATGGTAAAATAAACGACGCCTCGCCATGAGAATTGAGTTTTACTTATAGTCGATTTAAAATCGTCCCCGTCTCGTAAAAAGGAACGATGAAGATTGTAAAATTCACTGACGATCACATTGGCTACCAAGGAACCACGCCGTACAATAGGATTCGTCGTCGGTAGACGCACCTTACCAAAAATGGGCAAACCGGGACGGTAGGTGCTGTCTATTTCTAGTTCCAGTTTGGGGACACGAATATTTGCCTGACGGAATTGTGTCACAACTCAGTCCGCATCCCCGTCGCTGATTTTGACGGTGAAGCCAATTTTGTGCCCCTCCTCAACCCATTTTTCAGCATGTTGCATCAGCGATTTCATGGAGAAGCTTTCGCATATGCAACCTCCATTCAAAGGTGTGCCGAAAAGTCTGCCAGAAACAAGAAGACACTCGATTCGAGGTCCAGTTGAATTTGTTCCAGACAAGCCAACTGTGGTTTTTAACGGAGTGCTTAGGTTCCGCTGCTGCCTCAATTGCCACTCCGAACCGACGCAGATTTCAGCATCGAAGTGTCTACGAAAGTAATTGTAATTGTAATTGTCGTTGGTGTATTTTGCACAGACATTGAAATATGCCGTATCCGTTTCGATATCCACCTTGCTTGGGACCTGGATGGTGGCCAGGATACGCGGAAGCACATAATTCTCCACAACTACCTGAAGGGTTTTAATACTCGTAAAAACCCTTGCCACAGGTTTGTCCGATTCACCCAGAATAGCAACAAACGTTCGAACAAACGATGCTTGCAGTATCTGTGTTTCATTTTCTTGCCCACAGCACTCGTAGGTAACATTTAAGCTTATCGAGCCTCCTTCTTCGGTTGCGAACGGCGGACGGAAGTCCACTTCAGCCAGGTATAGATTGAAACTATAGTTCTCACTTCTATTTGAGTAAGGAATTTGGTATACATTTTCAATTGCGTTGTTCGAAATGATGTGAGAAGACACTTCCATGGGAGAATGCTGGAGTCCGTCCACATAAGACTCAATTCTTAGACTGCAGACAGGAGCCACGGAGATCAGTTGTGGTCGATTAGGTAGGTCGGGAAGAAGCGTCCGTGGGGCCGTGAGGGTAGCAAGTTCACCTCAATTTATATATATATAT